CATTCTGTTCTACATTTTCCTCCCTTTTGATCAGGATTCTTGTATAGATTCTTTGCTCAAAATTTACAGTAATGGTAGCTGGGCACCATCCTAGCTAATGAGACCATTGTTCTTAGAGGTAATTAACCACACATTCCATGTCCTCCTCCTATTCCGGACCCCCCTTCCACTGTTGCTCCAAGTGAATACAGACCATTAGTTGTGCCCTGAATGACTGCTTGCAAACCTTTAAGACCCCAGGCAGTACTCAGTAAATTTAGGTTGAACAGAAGTACAGACACAGTATCAGGCGAGCTAACTGTGATGTTCTGTGAAATCATGACCCTTAAGGAACCAAATCCCATGGAACGTATGGTTATCCGTAAACAACCTTACAACTCAGGTCATGGGGTATTTTTGCTATTATAATTGACTTATTCTACTTAGCATAATGTCTTCAAGTTCCATCCATAGTTTAGCATCTGTGAAGTCTTCATTTCTTCTATGGTGACTAAGTATTCCATTGTGTGTATGTACCACATTTTGTTACCCATTCTTTTTTTGAGCATTTAGCTTGTTTCCACCTTTGGGCTATTTGGAATAGTGTTGCAGTGAACACTGGTGTACAAGTTTCTCTTTTGAATCTCTATTTCCATGTGCACGTTTTTCTTTATTGCCTGGTACTTTTAAGAAATTTCCAGTTTTGCTTGTGCACATTTAAACTTTTGTTCCATGTTTGGGTTCATCAAAATATATTAAGAGTGAAAAGGCAAACCACATGATGGGAGAATATATTGACAACACATAAAACTGAAAAGGGGCTGGCTATATGCAGAAAATACAAAGAACATCTACAAATAGACAACTTTATTGAATTTGGCTGCAAAATCAAAGAGAACAGTCTTCACAAGACTGCTTTTCAGACATCAGCCTCAAATTCAGAGGTTCACACAACTACCTGCAGGTTTGGCTAGGATGACAATTAAAATGCCCAGGAAAATGGCATACTTGTAATTTTTACTACAGTTAAATTAAGGTGGCTATAACTAAACTCAGCCAAGGAAAGAGACATGAGAGAGGTCTGGTCACACTCTCCTTAAGAAATCATGGGATACATTTTCCTTCTCATGGTCACATTGTATGGTAATACACAGGATCATATACTTCCCACTTGGCTGACCATTAGATTCCAGCCCCTACTGGAGGTCAGAATTGAGATCCTCCTACATGGTTCATAGCCTCCAGTATAAATCACTTCAGACTGGTGACTGAAGGCCCCAGGCAGACACATTCCTGTCAGGCAGGTCTTTCCAGAGGCTCAGAGATAACCACCCAGTAGTGGAGGGCAAAGGTCAAACCTAATCTGATAAAGTGAATTCTTCAGTACAAAGCAACCTAATGAAAAATTGGATGAGAGCTGAATTTCACACAAAAAAAGGCCATTTAAATGGTCAACCAATACATGGAAAGGGAGGGACTCAATTACAAATGAGATCCCTCTTGACATTTATCAGAACAGCTGAACATTTAAAAGATGAACAATGACCAAATGGGGACTCAGTGGTGATCAAGATGTGGAACAATTGGAACTCTCTCATACATTGCTGATGAAAGAGTAACTTGGTCATTTCAAAAAAATGTGTACATACTCCCTGTGGAGAAACCTGTCTGACTGAAATCAATGTATGTACATGGATATGGTAACGAACTTTAAAGAATTGACATGTCTTTGTCGTCTTTGACAATTTAAATAACACTTTAGCCTAAGACTTGTTTTCTAAATACATAAATTTTTTTTATAAGTTAAGGCCTTTTTATTTTAGGGTAAATTTTAATAGGCTTTGTGACCCACCTCTCACTTTTTTGGTACAGTGAGTGAGTATTCCTTTTACCTTCTTTTGATAATTTTTGTATCATTCAATATTTTGCCCACAGTATCCTATAATGTTGCAAGTTGAGGCTTGATTCCTTCCCCCCCACCCCCAGTTCTTTCAGCTTGAGAAATACTGGCCATGTTGTATTCCCTCCCTTTTGGTTTTCTGACTCCAGGTCTTTGTTCATTTCATAATACTTGACTTTGTCTTCTTGATCCTGCCCTTGGAAATTTTCTCTTCAGCTCGTTATCTGTTCCATTTGCTTTAGCATTTCTTCGTTGGAGAATAAGTTTCT